ATATAAAAATACTCAGTCCGGTACTAGAGTTGTGACTGTTCTGCCAATTCACTCCGAAGAAGATTGTTGTTGAATAATAAAATATATAGCACAGGCTCTGCCTGGTTTGGGATCAGACGGCCGTGTGTGAGAGATATTATAAGTAGATTTCCAATCCACAATTACAAACCCGTAATTAATCCATAAGTAAGGATTCATCGATTCTTATCTAAACGACCTCCGCACAACTTTAATGTTCAACCTTCCTCCAAATAGGCCTTCATGCGAGAGCGAGAAAGGCAACGTGACGTCATATGTCCCGTCTCTTTCTCATTGACGTCACGGGCCCGAAATCGATGGTGAAATATTTAGCGGAAGCAAATTGCATTTTAGACCTTTTGCAATAAAGTTGGTTATGTAGAATGCCGTCACAACCAATGGGTTTTCGTTACGCAAATAAATATGTAACTTACTTTTCATTAGGTTTCTAACTCTATTCCATAGTGCTTAGGTTCGTTTTTGCTTGCGTTCTATAAATACTTTTATTACCTACTAAATTTATATGGGGCAGGATTTCCGAAGGATCTTTGTTTTTCTTTTAAAGAGTTTTCTCTTGTAAGACCTACGCGGTGGTTTAGGAGGCATTATTTATTTTCAAGTCACTTCCTGGTTTTATACATTTCTAGAAATTACTGTTTTTAATGGTTCTTTTCGTTTTTAATTAAATTGTTAGTTTTTTTAGTATAACCGGTAAACGAATGTAAGTAATACTCGTAATAACAACGGCGTGAGGATATCCCGGTCGGAACGAAGTTCCTGTCGCTTCTTAGTAGACGTTTGCTATGTATAAGAAAAAGATGGGACGCGCCAACTGAAGTGTCACAAAAAGTCTTGTTACACATTTCTCGCTCCCATCCGCTTAGAGCGTGTAACCCGCGATTAGTGCCACAGTGAGAGGGGGGGGGGGGGGGGGGGTTCCTTGGTCTTCGGTAACTTCAGTCAGTCGGTAGCATCATTCCGATCGAGCCCGCTCCAATCTTAGTCAGGAATATTTTCTTGAAAATTAAATGAGACTAATCTCAACTCTAAGCAATTTAATTTCAAAAAGAATAAATAAAAACGGTTCACAAATGGAGAAAATATCGCGTTACAAATACACAAAAAAATCGAAATGAAAACCTCTTCCTTAAAGAATACCACCTTTTAGCTTAAACACCGCTTGTTTTTAGCGTTACTTGATATTTGTTTCAGTATCCCAACAACAACTCTAAAATAACCACAACAATACAAATATACCTATTTTCCTTAGATGTTAATCTGTGTCCAATCATCATTTTAAATCACTGATTATATTACCCTGCAATGAATGCTTGATTCCTCATAAAACTCAGTAGATACGTCAAATTAAGTTAGTAGTATATATTTGTGTTGAGAATTCAGAAGGGAAATTCTCTTGATAAAAAATCCTTTCAATTTCAGTTTCGATTTACTCTTGGTCTCACAAACGCCATTAAAGGTATTCACGTAGTAAAGTCTTAAAGACTTTAATGTGATTATATCGTATTGTGAGCGAAAGTTGAATCGGTATTCCGCTAGTCTTAGTAATATTATACTACTTTACTACGAGAATACCTATTATGAACTTTGTGAGGTCGGGAATAGATCGAAATAATTTAATTTTCTTTGTTTTTTGCTCCGTTGTCTTTTTAATATAACAACTACTATAACAACCATAAATTTTTAGTTCACAAAGTACCTATCTGATCGCTAGTATTGTTTTCGTGTTGTCCCTATTACTATACTAAAACTATACTTGGTAAAATGTCTATTTTTAATGAACTTCTTGCTAATCCTGAAGGAGTTGATACGGTAGTATGAAATTTCTAATCATATTCATACCCAGTACTCAAGAAATAAAAATAATAAAACGCTAAAAACCATTTTTGAAGATTCCTTATTTCATAACGTTTTTGAGTATGACTTATCACATTCTATAATATATTATCTATGTATAAAGAGACGAAGACAAAACACGTCAGCATTTTTCTCTCCTTGAGGGATTTTCGTTGAACTGCCTTAGAGAAGTTTTTGTGTTGTCAAATAAAACATTTAAAACTTAAAGTTCAGCACAGTGACTATTCAATTCAATTAATTACCGATTTTAAAGCAAACTTTAGTTACTCTAAACACCGTAACAAAAAAGAAAATTAGGAGAACCCAAGGCATAATTTTCATAAGACTCCGTAATCCACAAAAGAATTAACCACAAGAAAGCAGTTCCTGGGGCGTTTTACAAGCGTACCTCCATAATAGCTGCAAATTTAAGGCTGTTTTTTGGGATAATGTGGGACAGAGGATACGACTGAGGGGTTTAAAAGGAAAATAGCGATGTACGGATGAAATGGCTTGGGTATTTTCCGGTAAAAAGGGCTATTTTAGATATAAAGAAAGTCTTATAGATGGATTTTCTGACGGAATATAGCAACATATGTTATCTAAGATGACTATAAGGATCTATAACAATGTTTAATACTAAAGCACACTAATTTTAACTTGAAATATGACATTTACAGGACATGTTGCAAAATTTCCTATCAAGTATGTCGTCGTCGCGACGCTGATGGCTGAAGCCATGATCAATACTATTAATAACTGGCTTTACCCACCCTGACACGCTTCTCTGTGGAACATTTTGCTTGAAAAAAAAGAAGATAAGAACCATCTTTGAAGTGTGTTGTATAGAGTGTCAAAATTTAAACTCAATCGGTGGAGAAGTTTTTGAGTTTTTGAAGCGTACATAAACCAAAAAACATTTTTATATATAAAGATAATATAACATCACACAATACACACCCGGTGATCTGATCCTCAACTAGGCAGAGCCTGTGCTATGGTTACCAGACAGCTGATAAACATACCTATATGTTTCTAAATACATATATACAGCCATTTGTACATGGTCATTAACTTGGAATACTATTGTATGTATTATATGCTGAATTGCTGTACAACAAAGATTATTCTATTCTATTCTATATGTTACATATGTATATTATTAAAATAAACAACGCCCAGACACATAATAAATGATCGTGCTAATCATACAGTCTTTGTCCTGTGTAGGTTAATCGAATCCACGACCTCTGGTTTAGCAGTCAGGGTCACTAACCACTTGACCAACAAGCCCGTCAGTTTTGTCCTAGCCCGTCTTCATTCGTTCAGTATCTGGGTGTATTTTTTTGAAGAAGACAACTCCCGCACCAGGTATTCTGTGACGCGGGGCACTTTACAAACATTAATGAAATGGACACAAACAACATCCAGACTTAGAACAACAATTTGTGTATCACACAAAGTGTTGGCCCATGTGGGGATCGAATATACAAAACTCAGCACAGAAGGAAGCCGCGAGGTGACCGCTTAAGCTACTACGCCATCCGTGCAGTCAGTACTCGTATGTACGAGTATGTTTTCAGTTATTTAGAAAAATGACATTCTGCTAAAATAGTACAAACTAGCTTCAAATAATATGGTGTTTTCAAATATTTCACGTTAAGTCTACTTCTGTTTGTTTAATACTCCACTTGTCATCAAACTAATGATAAGCTTATCGGTGAAAACAACTTTGGAGACTTAATAATAAATCTGATTAACGAACAATGGCTATCGGGTGGTGATAGCTATCATATCTGAACAAAGCTCCGATAAGAGCTTTTATTACATGCTTGTCACTCGTATTTAAGGTCACTGCTCTCACTCTCACTCCTGAGGGTCATAGCGTGATGTATAGACGCTCAAGTTTGTGAGTGTGTATGTTTGTTACGTCTTCGAGCTTAAACGGCCTGACTAATTTTGATAAAATATGGTATGGAGGTATCCGACACCCTAAATTAACACACACCCAAATCCAGTCACAAAACATATTTACACAGATCACAAAAGATGATAGAGTAACTTGTTTAGGAGGTCGTGTGTACTCGTATGTATGAGTGCCTGCGCGCTTTGTGTATGAGTGTGTGTGAATGGAAAACCGAACCTAACTGCTCTTCCCTCGCCTCCTGTTACATTCTTCTGTCCCTTTTACAGTCCCACAGATTACAGAATATCAAGAAGAAAGTAGAACGATGTGCTATTTGATATTATTAACTATTCTTTCGATTCTGGTATTTTTCTCTCAATTTGTCTTAAGTTTGTAGCATTATTTTACCCAAAATTTCAAATCCTACACTGGTGCTAATTCTGTTGTTCGATAACTCACTTAACTAAACTAAAAATCACTAAAAAATTCGTTTTGTCCTATCAAGTAGTACGTTTTCAGAATAGGAAACGTTGTTTGACAGGACTAAACAATTTTTTAATGTTTTTTAGATTAGTTTAGAGAGATTTCGATCAGCAGAATTAGCACCAATGTCTATACATTTTATACCTATATCAATTCCTTCTCCCTAGAACTTTGTTGTATAACTCTGTAGAGTAAAATAATATTAATAGGAAATATTTTACATATGTGTGTTCCTTCCTAACTTATCTTCAAGCAATTAAGATGAAAAAGATTTCTATGTAATGAAAATTTAAACACACCCGTTTCTTAAACTACCTTCACCTCATTATTTCCTCTTCAAATATCGTCATAGTCGTACTATAGTGTCGGATATGAAGTTTATTGAACTTTACAGGGCAGCCATTGCAAATAATTATGTTAATTTTTTGACATAACTTTTATAATTCTAAATTTTTTATTATGAAAATTGGTATACAAGTGAAAAATAGTGGTTGTTTTAAAACTCAATAAAAATAATTATACAATTTTCTAGAAAAATCACATGCACCATTTTACTTTGAGCGCCTATCAAACAAAGACTGAATAATTAAAAAAAAACATTTTTTCTTAAATGTAGTAGTAATATTTAGACAATGTACATTATTCTACGATCATGATAATATATAACACACACTTGTGTGTGACATACGAGTATTTAATACACACATACATACATGTGTGTGTAACTTTAAAATATAAATTAGTAGGTACTACTCACCCCGTCCGGGCTCTGCTTTTTAGCATCGCAGAACTGCTGCAGTACATCTTGTAACTTTTTTGTAGAATCTGTTGACAAAAATAAACATTGGAATATTTTTGAAGTGGAGAACTTCTTTAGGCGCATTGGGCATTTTTTTTCAAACAAAAGAATGTATTCTTTGAGATGGGAAAAAACTATTTGCGACACTGTTACCGTTACCGACACCTCTTTATTTAAGTATCTACATTTATTGGCATCGTTTACACGAGAGTTGAGTTTGGGTTTAAATACATTGATAATATATTGTGAAACATATATTGCGTTTATACGTAAAGCATAGATATATATATATTCATGCTGAAACTTATCGCATCGAAAACAAGCCAAAAAATCCTGTTATAATGAAAAAAAATATTGTTTTCACTTCTTTCGGTACTCGGAGTGCCACTGTTTTTTTTTAATGATAGTAATATTTTAAGGATGTGGAGTAAGTAGCAAATGTTTGTATGATCTGCAATTATTTGTTTCGAAGTTTGGGTGTTTTCTATGTATAATATGTATGTATTTCCAAAGAAGTATATAAGTACTCTATCAGTCATTCTAGTTTTCATAATACAAGTTCTGCTTAGTTTGAAACTAAATGGCGTTGTGTGTCAGATGTCCGAAATATTATTAATATAAGGAATATATAATCGAACATTAACCCGGAGGCCAACCCCCCTCTCTCCCTTTTGAAGGGAGAAGGCAATCAAAGGATAGCTTCTTTAGTTGCATATGTCCATGAGCGGTGGTAGGCACTTACCATAAGGCGACTCATCTGCTCTTTTGCCTCCTACACCATAAAGAAAACATATCTACGAAGTCCATCACCAGACTAATTTGTTCAGTCAAGTTATTTACCTAAACATTCAGGTCACACAATTTTGTGACTCTAAAACAATCCATACTAATATTATAAGTGTCTGTCTGTCTATTACCTCTTCACGCTTAAACCGCTGAACCGATTTAGATGATATTTGGTATAGAAATAGTTTGAATCCCGGGAAAGGACAAAGGATAGTTTTTAGCCCAGAAGTCATCCTATAAGGGAGTGAAAATGGGGGTGGAAGTTTGTATAGGGAATCAATAACCGCTGAACCGATTTTGATGAAATTTGGTATGAAGATATTCTGATAACCGACATAAACGCGGGCGGAGCCGCGGGCAAACGCTGATACACCCATAAGTAAATTAAGCACTCCAATACACTTCTATCTTAATTTGCTAATACATACGCTGACAATTCTAATTTGGTAATTGCGAAGTCCAATTATTATGAAACATACGAGCAGTTAACTTAGAATTTATATGCATTAGATATACCAATAACAGTGATTAAATTACTATCAGTAATAACAATTAAATCGTGAATTTTCATTACCGGTCTGTACACAATCTCATCATCATCAACAGCCCTTAATAGTCCATTGCTGGACATAGATCTCTCCTTAGAAAGGAGGTTTTGGCCCACTATACCACGCTGGCCAGACGGGTTGGTATAGGGTTTTTTTAAACTTTTCCTTCTCTTTGCAGTTCTGTTGCTCCCTTAGTCGACTCTTACGAAGCCCACTCCATATTGTTAACCTGTCATCGCACGGACAATACAAGTCAACACAATCTAATTAGTTAGAAGTCAAGGGTTTGGGGATACCATTCCCGCTTAGTGTAAATATTTTATTTCAAGAGGAATAAATAAAGAACGTCAAGAAAACAGACAGGGCGAGGGAACCAGGGAAATGGGTTCTTCAAGTTTTGGATTGGAAACGGGATCGAGAATGACTGACTTAATATCCTATGTCCACGAGATGGGGCAGATGATGCTCACAGTAGTCATCCACGTCTTGCCGATTCTCTTCATCTCATCTGCGACAGTGCGTGGCCAAGTTTTCCATAGGCGGCCACGCTTACGTTTTCCTAGCTGATTCCAAACCCGTGCGTATTTGGCGACATGGTCAGGGTGCCTACAATCCAGTTGCAGAATTGAGAATAAAGTAGTTTAAAGAAATCCTAAAACCCCTAAAAATCTAAGTTTTCCAGACCCCACAGCAAACTCCACTTATCTTGGGTTATCAGATAACATTATGTCATTGTGATATATCGAACGATATCATTATATAAAGCTATTAATATTAGGTCTTTACCTATGAAATTGCCGTTTTGTATGCAATAAGTGAAAGTACTTTTTTTTTCAAACTTTTTTATTTCTGTTATTCGAAGTAATCACCCATGCAATCGACGCATCTTTGCCCAGTTTAATGATGCCCTTCTTGTAAAAATCAGCTGGACGGGAGGCAACAAACTCTTCAAAGGCATTTTGTACTGCCTCTCGGGAATTGAATTTTTTACCCACTAAAAAGTTGTCTATATTTTGGAAAAAGTAATAGTCGGTAGGTGCAATGCTAACATAGATATTTTGTGTTATCAGTGTTCTAGCTGTTAAATACGATCAAAGAAAATATATATATGTGAGAATGTATTGTTATACTGTTCATTCCCTAAGGATTAATGTCCCATAAATTAACCTCATAAACACAAATTCTAACCGCAAAGGCCTACATCTCCATAAGTAACGCAATAAAGACTCCATGTATTTTATACAGGAACAATAAAACAGTATATCTGATTACTGTGTAACTTTTTAAAAGTATCACGAGGAATTGTTATAAGCTGTATTCTTTATTCATTAATTTTTCACCCTTAGGGGTCGTGAAAGGGGTTCGTGGGTGGTAACCGAGTAGGTTAACATACTGCAAAGTAAAGCAATCCTTGCCAGGTCAGTCGATGTAATGGTGCACTGGGTGGATGTATGCACGTTAAGCAGTCGGTCCCATACATACATCTGTGTCAATCGTTATGGGTAGTTGCAGCCCTAGAAAGTCCGAGAACCGTCTTTCTACAGAGGTTCGATATCGCCTAGTACTTGGGTTGCAGAGGTCTGATGGCAGTCACTGGCTGTATCGTAGTAGACTCAAAGCTGACCCAACTTAGGTTGCGGTCAGCTTCAAAAAGGAGGGGTTGTGATTTTTCCTAAAATTTGAATGAGACAAAGCCACAGGTATAGCTTCACAAATAAAAAAAAAAACTTTCGAAGTCGGTTCATTAATGACGTGGTACTGAGTTAACCATCATAAAAAAATACAATCAATCCAAAAGAAAACATCCTTCTTTTCTTGAAGTCGGTTAAAAACGTCAAACGAGTAACACATGTCTTTTATAATTTTAATTGCGCTCTAGGAAAAGGCCAAAGGCTAAGAAAGGGGTAAAAGTCGTACCTACACATAATAACCTCGTAAGTGGTGGCTCAGTAAGTGCATGTGCAGTGTGCAGTAAGTGATTTTATGAGCAGTTTATTAAATTAAGAAGATCGTCCACGAAGTACAGTGCATCAGATCATAGCAGAAGCCTCATGATTGAGGAAGTCTACTCTAACGGTCCAGTGCCGTAACCTGCGGTTTACTAGTATAACTATTTGTAGTTTACAGTAAAATGGCGAAACTCACAGAGGTTTGAAGTGCATGCCGCCGATCAAAGAAGCAGAAATGCTTACATCAGCTGTCGCGCGGATCGGTGAGTCACGCGTTAGTCTAACCGCTCTGTATGCTATTTTTTTTTTACGTGTACCCTCTTTTTACACGCTTTATATTAGCTTCACTTGTATGTTTGTATGTTTGTTTGTAACCGACTGGAAAAAAAGCGTTGGGTGCCTGTTGTCAATAGTAAAGAGCACCCCACGCTTTTTTTCAATTTTATTACAATGTATTTTCTATTTTTTAGTTTGGTTTTCTATAAAAAGCGTGTTTTTAAGTTTTTTTAAACTATTACTTTTTTAATTTTTTTTTCACGAGTGATAAAAGTAATACGAGTTTAACGTCCAGTTTACCGAGATTATTAAGTGATTGTGGTGCAGATGGGTCTGAAGACATGATGCAAGATGACGGTGTTTTGAATAATAATTGGTGTTGTGTTGGCAGGGCCTAGTTAGGGGGTTTACACTCCATCTGTCACCCTAGCAGAAGCAGGCCGGGGTGGCGGCGAGCGCGTTGCGAAGCGCGCTCGCTTCCAGGGAGCACAGGGAACATGGGGTTCCCACACGGGGGGGGGGGGGGGGTCGTCTACTCGTCTGTAGATGACCCGAGGTATGTCGGGGCACCAGGGACTTCCTTTCTAGGGTATACCTGGTTCCCCGGCTATTAGTACCCGAAACGGCGTGCGGTTTTAGTCGGTTCGAGTCCGACATGCCACCGACAGGTGGTATCCGAGGGGATTTTCGCACGGAAAAAAAAAAGAAAAAAAAAAAGGGGGGTTTACACTATTCATTTGAGATGCTTGTATTTTTATGCTTATATCTTTAGTTAGAAGCCGCATTGATTATGAATGTTTTCTATTTGATAACAGTATAAAATCAAGAGTTTAAAATGAAAAGAAAAAAGATCCAAAACCAAGCTAAGAGAATAATAGGTGGTTTTATAAGAACAACTCCCATAATGTAATGGCGATGGAATTGTTCTGGCCTCCATTATGTAAGGCGAACTTATTCAACAAATACTGTTTAAAGATTAAATCGAGGGCTTTTGATGTTACATATAAGTTATTATGCAAACTTGAAACTGATAGGTATTGGTCAATGACTGCACTGGTTTAAACGGTTTAAACGGTCGCCACGCCGCGCCGCTCACTACCACGCTGAGTGTTGTGGGTCCGATCCCCACACGGGACGACACTTTGTGTGATCCACAAATTGTTGTTCTGAGTCTGGGTGTTCTTTGTGTCCGTTTCATGTATCTTTGTAAAGTCCCCCGCGACACAGGATATATTCCTAATGCGGAAGTCTTTCAAAAAAAAAAAAACACCTTTGATGACTGTGTGGAACCTTGTTAGTAAAGAGAAAAATTAATTAACCTGCCTTTTAGACATGTATAAATGAAATGTTTGGTGTAGTTTTATAGCAATTGATAATGTAATTAAAATAAATCTAAAAAGGGTACTAAAACCTAAAATATTTTACGAAACTAACTCTTTAAGAAATAAAATTTTATTGGAACTAAATGAAAATTATAGGTATAAGTTGCACACTGATGGGTCCAAAGAACATTTTTGTGAACAATCTAAGTCAAAAAATATTTGGTACAAAATTATTCAAAATGAGCCTCCTCGTATCCCATGGTTTAACAGCAGTCTAATTAATGGCAGAATATTAATAACCCCATTTACAGTTCGTTCGGGGCACATTCCATTAAATTATTTCGCATTCATGATGAAAAAAGTAGCTTCACCGAACTGTGAAATTTGTAATTTAGTTGAAAAATATATTATAATGGAGTGTACCAAGAATGAAATCGAAAGAAATTATGTCATTAAGGAGTTCAATATTAATATGTTAGACTTAGGTATGTTTATCAACTTTCTAGATAAGCCTTTTTCACGTGAGGCTAGAATGATTTATATAGATTTGCATCACTTTAAGACATTTCATATTATCCGTGTGGTGACGGATTAAGAATACAGTGTCGCCAACCCTATTCATCACGTGGGTGTCGTAAAAGCCGACTAAGGGAGGTAAGGTAAAGGAGGAGGAGGTAAACTACGCAGGACAACAGCACTGCAAAGAGAAGGAAAACTTGAAACAAAGTCTATACCAACGCGTCTGGCCAGCGTACAGTAGGCACAAACCTCCTTTCTAAGGAGAGGCCTATGTCAAGCAGTGGACTATTAAAGGCTGTTGATGATATTACTTTGCATATTTAATATATATTGCATAGACATAATATTCTTTATTTTCTTATTTATAGATATATTCACTAGCTTCTAAATTATGATAACATATAATGAAGTTGTTTTGTAAAGTATGTTTAGTCTGCAATGGAACTGACATGAACTGCGTTCAAAAGTTCCTTAAAAATAATAAAATAAAAATACTCACATAACGTTAACTCTTGTAGCTGTTGGAACTCTGCAGGTGACAGCTTGTCCCACTGGAACGTGCTGCCCACGCTAGCCATCGCCTTCTGTAACAATAAATATCTATTTCAACTATAATATTGCACACATTAGTTCAATAGTTTTCTTGGGAGCTTCGTAGAAAGGCACAAACTCTTGGACTAGTGAAGTTAAAAAGAGAGAGAACATGGCAAACTACTCTCATTGCGTAAAATTAGGCACTAGTAGGCCTTCCGTGTGGTGAAGAATTAAGAAAACGGAGTGTCATCATCCCATGAGTTTCGCAAGAGCCGACTAAGGTAGCAAACTATGCAGGACAACAGCACTGCACAGCGAAGGAAAAATTGATACAAATACTTTTTTTTTTTTTTTTTTAACGTGTGGAAATCCCCTCGGACCGTCACCCCTCCGGGGTTTGCGGTGTGCCACTCTGCGCCTGTAACAGGAGGGATCCGGGAACAGCTGTTGTTAAGACATCCGGACCCCTCCTAGCGCCAGCCCGCTCCTGGTGCGGGCTCCGTCTCGATGTTGTTCCTCTCTTTAGGCGACGTCCGGCACACGCGGACGCCGCCCCCTCGCGGTTGGCCAAACTAATGCGGGTGGAGGGGAAACCCACCCCGTCCACCCGCGGCCACACTCAGGGCGGCATGAGGCTGTGGTAGGCGGGCCTCCGCCGCCCGGTTCGCCGGCGGCGGATCGGGTCCGAGTGGAGGTCGTCCTCCCGGGCCCTCTCCGCCGCCTCCTTCCGCGAGATTACTACCTCGCAGAAGGTTGCGACCGCGGTAAAACAACTGTCGCTACCGGCCATGGAGCGTACTACGGCCGGTAGCGAGAGATCCACTCCGATGACTGCAGTGAGGGCCCGGCGCTGCGCCGCCCATGCGGGGCAGACCGCCAGCGTGTGCTGGGCCGAGTCCTCACTGCAGTCGCAGTGGTGGCAGGCGGGACTCAGTTCCCTCCTAGCGACCGTGTGCAGGTACTTTCCGAAGCAACCGTGCCCGGAAAGCACCTGCGTCAGCCGGAAGGAAAGGGTCCCGTGCTGCCGCCCTGCCCACTCGGCGATGACCGGCTGGAGAGCCTCCACGGCGGCGAAGCCAGCGCGTGGAGTCTCCAGCCGGAACGACTAACGAGCCATCGTGGCTCGGCGAGCGGCTTCGCGCCACTCGCGCACATCCTCGGGCGGAGGGCGAAATCCGCTCTCCGCCCGGGAGTCAGCCACTCGCCGATAAACTTCGGCGAGCACTTCCGCCTCCAAATCCCACGGGGGAGTTCCGGCCAACGCGCATGCCACCTCCGTAGAAACGGTGCGGTAACCGCGTATGGCTCTGACCGCCATTACCCTCTGAGGGCGAAAGAGGCGTACCCTATTCCGGGCGGTCAGAGCCGCCGCCCACACCGGTGCACCGTACAGCGCCATTGACCGGACAACCCCCGTTGTATGCACATATAATCAAACAACAACTTATACTCGTATATGTATATATATGTATATGACTTACTGAAGAATTTAATTCCAAAGTTACTGGACTGGAAGGGTTAAACCTCAACATGGCTGTACACAGGTGACTGAGTATTAATATTATATATACATAATATATATTGTTTCCAAACTTGAGATATTAAATAACAGAAACTGTCCAACATATTCACTTCATTACACGCCCTTACAGCACACATATATAAATTGACTGCACAGATGGCGTGGTGGTTTAAGAGGTCACCTGGCCGATTCCTTGTACGCTGAGTGTTGTGGGTTCGATCCCCACATAAGTCAACACTTTGTATGATCCACAGATTGTTTTCCTGAGTCTGGATGTTTTTTTGTGTCTGTTTGTGGCGGAAGATGTGGTGTTGCAAGTGAGCAGAAATGATAAACTCCCAATTTTTTTTTGCTATACAACACTAAGCGCAGAAGGAAGCAGCGAGGTGACCGCTTAACCACTACACCACCCTTGCAAGCCGTCCACAAATAATCCGTGCAGTGAATGAAACCAACTGAAACCATAAGGAGTTTAATCACTGGTGTCTGTGACCGGGGCTCAGGTATAGCGGCACCTAGGTAGCTGAACCCCTGATAATAATAATAATAATAATTTCACACATCTCACACACGGCCGTCTGATCCCAAACTAGGCAGAGCCTGTACTATGGTAATCAGAATGCTGATAAACATACTAATATATTTCTAAATACATACATAATATAGATAAATTACACCCAGACACAGAACAAATGATCGTGCTCATCACACAATTATTTGTCCTGGGTGGGAATCGAACCCACGACCTCCGGCTTAGCAGTCAGGGTCACTAACCACTAGACCAACAGGGTGATAAACGTCACTATCCTTCGAGATATTAATATTTTACCTTCTTGAAGACATCAGTGAAACCAGTTTCAAGCTTCAATACAACAATAATCACTTATCTTTAAAAGATTCTTAATCGTGTTAAATTTACCTCTTCTCCCTTAATTTTCCACCCTTAGAGACGGAAAATCTTCTAATTTAAATAGGACCAACCTTGAATACAGCCAATTTAATTCTGCGCAAGCAAATTTGGTTAAAAAGGCGAGCGGATAACTTGTGCTAGCGTCCGAAGTTCATTGCGGCTTTCTTTAGCAGGAAAACTTTTTTTTATGTTCTATAGAACTCTAATTGAGAATACGCCAAATGAATATTTGCCCTCCATTTCGATTTGGTAAATACAAAATCCTATTTAAATCAGAAAGGCTTAGCAATCGTTGTTACACAGCTGACCGCTTCACGAATTCCCAGAATGACAATAAAATCAATCGGTTCAAAACGTAAACATACTGTGTTTACAATCAAATCGACAAATATTTACGACCCGCGAACGCGGCTTACACTACCCGCTATAGGGTTGTCGAAAATAACTAAAAAAAAAATTTTCAATTCAATTCAATTTTCAATTTTTGGCCTCTCCTAAGAAAGCGGGTTTTGGCCCACTATACCACACTGGCTAGACAAGTTGGTATAGGGTTTGTTTCAAGTTTTCCTTCTCTTTGCAGTGCTGTTTTACTGCGTAGTTAGCTCCCTTACTCTCTCTCTTACGACACCCACGGAATGATACTGGTGGTGACACTACGTATTCTTAATCACTACATTAATATACGTATCATCATCAGCCTATCGCAGTTCACTGTTGGACATAGGCCTCTCCCATTGGGAGAGGACTATATACGTATAAATAGTAATAATAATTTGACAAATCTCACACACTTCTCTCTGATCAAAATTTAGGCAAAGCCCGTGCTATATTAATCAAACTGCTGACCTTCTAGTCCCAGACTAGGCAGATCCTGTATTGTGGTAAACATACTTAAAAATAGAGAGGAGAGACATATAATTGTGCTCGTCACACAATTATTTGTCCTGGGTAGGAATCAAACCCATGACCTCTGGCTTGCAGTCAGAGTCACTTACCACTGTACCAACAGGCCAGTCCAAAACAAATAAGTGGTCATGTTCTTGGAAGCGATGGGACTGAGGTTTAATTATCATATATAACAATTCCTGTGATTGTATTCTATTTGTTATTTAAAATTTCCTTTGGCCTATGGAGTGTAGAGGAGGACCATCTCACATGGGGGGATAGTTGATAAAGTGTCCAGCTGTATAAAGAAAATAGAGGTCGCTGGTGTACGAAAAACTACGATATGAGCATAGCTGTTGTAGACAGAGTGAAGTGTGCTGAGTTAAAATATTTAAAAAATTTAATGACTGGAGTAGTTAGTTAAATGCCAGTATATAAAACCTTAACTATTTGCGTGATTATATTAGTCTATTTTATTCTAATTTATTTTTGGCGCCTTCTTTAAAATGTATCCTAGGCTACCGGAGCGACACACTTATTGGACGCGTTTTCATACACAGAGATGGTTCTCCCTGCTTCTAAAATCCATACTACGGCCCAAAATATCTTACAATAATGTTGTTTCAGTACAGCCACAGAGTTTGTTCATCGTTAAGTCGGGTAAACATAAAGGTATTATCTATGCGTATAAAATTACTTGCCTTGACTTACTGATTTGTCAATGCAGAGCCTAAACCTGGAGCTACAAACTTGATACATTGGCAGCTAAAGCTTTTTACATACAGAGCCGAAACGTGGACACTTACGGCTGGTCCACAAGCTTAAAGTCATGACATGAAAAGGGCTATGCTCGGCGCTTCTCTAAGAGATCGCATCTGGAATGAGGTGATCCGGCAGAAAACTAAGGTCATCGACATAACCCACGGGATTAGCAAGCTCAAGTGGCAGTGCGCTGGACATACGAGTTCTTGAGTGGAGATCGCATCTAGCGCAAGAGAAGCGTGTAGGACGCCCACAGGCCAGGTGAAGTGATGATTTGCGAAAGATGGCTGGCAGGAGTTGGATGCTAGAAACCGAAAATCGATCGACGTGGCGTGTAATGGGAGAGGCCTATGTCCAACAGTGGACTGCGATAGGCTGATGATGATGATTGATTTTTATGTTGTAAGCCCCACTAAGAAAATTCACCACTAAGACGGGCAAATAAGGGACAAACGATTGTATGGCTGTTCGTATTTTCATAGATAGAATCACGAAGTAAGAAATAATCACACGAGCAAAATCGCGGGTAATTTTCATGTAACATTTCTGTGTATTCGACAAGCTATAAAATTAATTTGTAATTAACTGTCAAGAATCCTATTCGAAGCGATATTAATTTAATAATTAATAATTTCATTAATATTTTCAATTTGTTTACTTATATTTTGGTACTATCTTATGGTCTTAATATTACGTCTTTATTAATTTTCTAATTCTCGTATAGACTATACCAAAATAAGAATACTATTGCCCGTCGACTACCGACTACTTCGGTAAAATATATTTTAAATTATTTAATTTTGTTTTATTTATTTTAATATTTTATGCACAAATTACAACTCAATTGTACAATGGCGGACTTAATGCCACAGGCATTTTCTCACAGTCAACCTTTAGGTGGTGGGGTGCAAAAGAAATTAAGTTTAGATTTTTGTTTTAAAAAGATAATAATTATAATTGAGGCTTGTATGAGCACTACCAATATGTGGAACAAGTTATCGTCTGCGGTATTTACGGACCGATACGACCTTCAAACCTTCAAGAAAAGAGCGTACTCCTTCCTCAAAGGCTGGCAACGCGCTTGTGACTCCTGAGTTGTAGGCGTTCATGGGCGGCGGTAGTCGTTTTCCATCATGACACGTCCGCTAGTTTGCCACCTACTCCATAAAAAAATGAGGAGGATAATTTTAATTTGTTTTCTTTTCTGTTTGTAATGTCACAACTCAATAACTACTTAACTGATTTTAATATTTTTTTACATACAATATTATTAAAGTAATTAGGCATAAACATGGGCTGTATTTTATCTTCACTCTTTTTAGAGGCATAACTTCTAAAATATATGTAGGTAAATAATATGTAGAAGTCGTTTTAAGTGTACACTTCCAAACCTATTCATGATCATTTTTAAAAGGGCATCTTGGATACATACATATATGGATACAAAGTATTTATTGTGAGCCAAATCTGGTATACTACAATTGTAGAGCGCAATTAATAGTTACCTACAGTATTACAATGGGTGATCTGATCAGCGCGTCTGATCTTTTACCAACCAAACAATATGTGGGTCGACTTTAATATACGCTTAAGTAATTTATCTATACGTATAGCACCATAAACATACAACAAAAACTTGCTTTAAGACAAGACACACCGAATTTTAGAGAATATAGCCAATCCTGCAATAAAGGTTCTCAAATCAACTAGACGTCGCGTCACATATACTGTATACTAAACACGTTAAAGCAGACTTTAAAGTTTTCTATACGAGGTTCTTACAGCCTTTTCAAACCGAGCGCAAGTATTGCCTTCCTAAGAGAGCCGCTATGTTAGCTCGCAAAAACTTCTGCCTACTCAAAGGACAGTAGAGCCTCATTTCAAAGCCGTCTATTTATCTTGTCAAATCGACAGCTCTAATTAATTGTTTTGTAAAGTCTCGAAACTGCAGCTGTTCCATCGAAAACATTCATTACTCAAAAATATGTCTGTAAAAAGTGAAATTGTTTCATCAACAGCCTGTAATAGTCCACTACTGGATATAGGCCTCTCCTTAGAAAGGTGGTTTTGGCCTACTATACCACGCTGGCCAGACGGGTTGGTATAGGGTTTGTTTCAAGTTTTCCTATCCTTACCTTTGCAGTGCTGTTGTCCTGCGTAGTTTACTCCCTTAGTAGGCTCTCAGGACACCCATGCGATGAATAGGAGTGGTGACACTTCGTATTCTTAATCCGTCACCTCACGGAAATTGTATATTTCTTTTTTTTCCAGTGGCAACCCTAACCTAGTGAGGATTTTGTACACTAGATTCCTCGATATTCAAGTCACGAGTATTTTATTAGACCTCTGAATCGATTACAATAGTTTTGTATTAAGCGACGACCACAGTTCATTGGAAAAGGATTTTCATGTTTTTATGTACTTTAATCGAAATAAAATCACAGAGGGATTAG